TGGAAACTGCTTCGATTCGGTGGCCATATTTGGTTTGTGCGTGGATATCCACTCAAACGCTCGCAATTACCGTAGACGTTAATTACGTTTCCGTTCCATTTAACATGGCGCCGCGTTACGTAAGCGTCGGGAGTCAGGAATGTCCGGCGAAACTGATACGACATTCAGCATCGTGATCTTCAAGCGGACTTTGCTTTGTCGTCTACGATCGAGATAATGTAAAAATTTCTGAAAGGCAATAAAATGGACAAAAGACGCTATAGGGTATTCCTAGTGGTCATACAAATAGACGACAAGATCATAATGGCCAAACGAAGTTTAAAACTTTTGGAACCTTGCAATTGCATATCTTATAATATAAAAGAAAAAACAACTTATTTATATATTACTATTATATAAGACAAAATGTGATGCCCTTATATTATATATGCATTTTATTTTTGAATCATAAGTAATATTACAACGTTCAGATAGATTTACTCTTGGCTTGTCGGTTAAGGCGTCTGATTAGAAATCAGATTCTCCATCGCAGCGTAGGTTCGAAATCTACTTACTGCAAACGACCATTGTTTTGCTTAAAAACACCTTTTTTTATTAGCAGCTATACAAATTGGGAAAAATTTTGTCAGGTATATTATTAATCTTTTTTACATCATCAGGAATATATCGATTCCTAAATAGATTTAGTCTTAGCCCATCCATCCACCATCCACCATTAATTTGCTCAAAAACAACTTTTTTTTTTATTACCAGCTAATCTAATAGCGGAAAGTTTTGTCAAGTATGCGAATATATGAATGATGATGATGAATTGATATTTTGTTCGGTCGAATTCAAAGAAAACTGCATTTTTTTATTGTTTGAATAAGGCCTCTATGCTGTTCAGGATAAATACTGCATTATTATTAAGTTGGCGATTCCTTGAGACTGCTAAGACACATTTGTCAATAAAGTATAGGTATTATCATCCTGTGAAAATCCAGATGGAGAACTGGGATCTCCACTTTCAGGTCTCAGCACTCAACCGAAAAGCTGTCATTTTATCAGCCCACAACCATTTTTCCATGTTATTTATTTTGGTAGACCTGATATATTTTACATAGGTATCCCGCAGATTTTTCCATTTTACGAATTTCTTGGCACTGGTGATACTTTCAACACCATAGGCCACAGTTTTAGAGTTGGACTTTTCACAGTAAGTGCTATCGTTACAGAAGTATGTAAACTGCGTCGGCAGTTTGGACGGTAAGCAGGTTACCGTAAAATTCCCGGATCAAACTGGATCTAATTATTGCTGCTATTTACACACATTTTCAATAGTACTAGAATATAAATTTTTATGTGTGGATATCGGTGGATTTGGTAAAAACAGCGACCATGCAACCTTTGACCAATCCTACATGGAAAAGCGGTTAAAATCTGGCTGCGCTCATGTTTTAATTGGCGATGAAGCTCTTGCGCTGAAGAGAGTCCATATTTAAAGAGGCACTTTCCATATAGACAATCTAGGACAGATATTTTTAAAGAGAAATATAATAAAAGACTCTGTACTGCAAGATAGGCGGTAGAAAATTCATTTTGCATATTAGCTCAAAAATTTCGAATATTTTATAGACCAATGGGAACAAACGTGAAAACTACAATTTTAATTGTAAAAACAATCATCATTTTTTAAATCGTACAACATTGGGTATTTTTTAACAATTTCTATTACAGCTTCCGGTTTCATATACATATACAACGGCAACCTAGCGCGCATGTCTGTATGTTTCCATAAGCCGCCATAAAAAAAAAATTTGCATTGTAAAATTCGGGTTGGTTTGAGGTGATTTAAAGGTGCGACTAATACTTTTTTGAGACGCCCTGTGCATAACTTAAGTTCCATTAAATTAGATATTGCCTTTACAAAATTACCATCTATATCTGCAACTAAACGTCGACTGTAACGATACACTGCAAAACGTCTACATTTCCTGGGGTAAAACATTCATTAAGAAACAAATAAATAAACAGTTGTGCGCTGCGACGTCGGCGTCGAACGACAACCCTGGGAGACGAACGTCTGCAATTGAAGTTTCTCGACTCTGACCGAGGGCTAACGATAACCCGGGGCGACCTTAAGCCCCGCTAAATAGATTTCCCTGCTTTGTCTCGTACCGTTTGGGATTTCGAGCTGGTCTCGTTCTAGAATACATTTCAATATCTCAAAAAAGCGGACACCTTTGCCGTGTTTACGAATCAGAGCAGAGGGTTGACGCTTGGAGAAAAAAACCCTTTGATCGGAAAATTCGACGGCATCAGATAAACTCTAAAGGTTCGGGGCGGTTCGTTTTCCACTTAAGCCAGTCCTGGACGAAATCCGATTCCCCTTTCCCCTCCATTAATTCATACCTGGCTGGTGTCTATGCGATTATGGATTAACATATCCCCGGGAATCGGCCAACCGTTTTGAGTCGAATTATCGTTATCGGTTGATTAACACGATGAATTCGATAATTAGGTTGGTACGAGGTTAAATAATATTCCCGTCAACTCGGAATTATATTATTAAGTTTTGGTTTCCCTATTAATTTAAACATTGATATTTGATATGCGCGGTGAAATGGTATCATATGATGTACTAAATAACAATATATGTTATAACGCTTGCTTCCTAGTATTAATCCATCTATTTCGAATAAAATGTCTGCCGTATCACTGATAAGCCTAAACAGACTTATTAGTTTGAGATAGCTTAACACCTCCAAATATGAAAAAAAAAACTTCACTAAAAAGGAACCTCGAATTCAACCCCCAAAATGTAACTGGTTTGATTATTAGATGATCACCATTAGTTTAATACATTCCTATATGAATAACCGGTTTCACTACTTTTTATTCGAATGACGACAAATCATACTTTTTGCTAGCGAATTACAGACATTGCTAAATCATAAATTCAAACTGCAAAAAATAGTCTAAACCACTACTAACCAACAAATGTAAACACAATTAGTTCGTCATTAGTTTAACTTGGTTTAAACAATCGAAATTTCAAGAGGAAGTAACTCACCAGTGCAACTTTTTCTTTCCACGACGCACCAGTTTCTGGCTTTGAACAACATGACTAACTACCTACGAATTAATTATTTTCGAAAAATGATTAATTAAAAAGTTTTAAGGTACATTACGTACGTATATTACCATTAATAAACTCTGATTCACAAACTCACAAAATTTCATTTGCAACCATCAAATAACAAAAATGATTCTTATACTTTTTTTCTAGGTTTCACAATTCCTAAGATATCGCGTAGATAAACATTTAAGGTGTAACATGTCGTAGCAGAACTGGTCCAGCTACGCGGGAATTATTTAATAACTATTTGGATCCAGTGAAAATATGGCACTAAATGTACTCAACCAACTATATTTTTCATAACTTGTGAGGACATGATTTACTTTTCTTCACTTGTCACGAAAAAGGCCTCTTTTTTCATTGCGGCCAGGATGAATTTGTATTTCAAAAAGTCAACTGTTAAGTGTAAAAACACGAAAGGTTAAATAACAATTTTTTGTTCAATTTCTTCTTTAATTCTTAATAATTACGATAATGCTGCTAAACGATAAATGCTGAAGAAAAAATATTTGAAGTGTTTGATTAATATTTTTTATTGTTTGTCTTAAATCACACAAAATCTCTTGTTAATTATTCGAGAAGGTATCATTCTTGAATAAATTCCAATATCTCAAAAAGAGAGCAGACACCTTTGCCGTGTTTACGAATCAGCGTAGAGTGTTGACGGTTGGAGAAAAAATAAACCCTTTTATCGGAAAATTCGACGGCATCAGATAAACTCGAAAGGTTCGGAGCGGTTCGTTTTCCACGTAAGCCAATACTGGGCAAAAATTTGATTCCCATTTCCCCTCCATTAATTCATTCCAGCCTGGTGTCTATGCGATTATGGATTAACATATCCCCGGGAATCGGGCAACCGTTTTGTGTCGAATTATGGTTATCGGTTGATCAACACGATGAATTCGATAATTAGGTTGGTACGAGGTTAAATAATATTCCCGTCAACCCGGAATTACATTATTGAGTTTTTGTTTCCCTATTAATTTAAACATTGATATTTGATATGCGCGGTGAAATGATATCATACAATGTACCAAATGACAATATGGGTTTTAACGGTTGCTTCCTAGTATTGATCCAACTATTTCGAATAAAATGTCTGCCGTGTCACTGGATCTTTCGGCGGGATGAAATAATTACACCGATGAGCCTGGCAATAAGGCTCGCCTCAAATATATGAAAAATCTAGTTAAGCGGACTTATTAGTTTAAGATAGCTTAATACCTCCAAATATGAAAAAAAAAAAACTTCACTAAAAAGGAACCTCGATTAATCGTTAGCAATATTGCTAATTATTTAAATTTAACCCGAAAATGTAACTGGTTAGTTTTCACATTCACATTCACATATGATTAACCGGTTTTACTACTTTGTATGTTAATAACGACAAACTTTCTCGTACATGTCGTAGCAGAATTGATCCAGCTCCGCGGGAGTTATTTAATTACTTATTTTAGCCTAATTTAACTAGATTATAACCCCAATGCAATGAAAGCTGTCTTACTTTCTATGCCCATTATTTGGATCCAGTGAAAATATGGAACTAAATGTACCAAACCAACTATATTTTTCATAACTTGTAAGAACATGATTTACTTTTCTTCACTTGTCAGGAAAAAGGCCTCTTTTTTTCATAACAATGTATTGTTTAATTTCTTACGTTTTGATTAATATTTTTTTAGAATTGTTTGTCTTGAATACCACAAAATCTTTTGTTAATTATTCAGCTAGTCCTAATTTTGTTCTTTTATTTTCAAAAAAAACTCTAATTGTACTTCTCGTACTATACAAACAAGGGAATCAAAATCAAACCATTCACGAAACATACAGTTCGTAAGTGTACATAACTGCATATATTTTTCAATCTTCGTTGCCATTTCAGGAGGCAGGATAGACCACGCCCACCACTACAACAACGCTTACCGAGCACTGGACGAAACCCTGGCGATGGAAACTGCTCTTCTCGCGGCCCTGACATTAGTAAACCCCAGCGAGACCCTGCTCGTCGTCACTTCCGACCATTCGCACGTCCTTACGATGGGGGGTCAAGCCACCCCCAGGGGTCACCCTATCCTCGGTGAGCCGCAGCGTTGCGTAATGCCTCCCCTACGGCGTTTAAATTTCGACACTTACCGATACAGCTGACGAGGTTTACTGGTCTCGTTATCGATCACTGTAGGAAAAATTCATACTCCGTCCGTTGAGGTGTTTTTATTTTGTTTCAATTTTATACTTGCTCCCTTTGTTGTTCCGTGTTTCACTGGCTTTGTTGAATATATATATATATATATATATATATATATATATATATATATATATATATATATATATATATATATATATATATATATATATATATATATATATATATATATATATATATATATATATATATATATATATATATATATATATATTCAACGCGTTACGTAAACTTGTGCTCTTTACACAGAACTTTCTCTCCGTTCACAAATGAATCGCCGGCTTGAAACTGTTTAAAGCTCAACAACGCTAATTAATTTTTATGAAACTGCATCGCCGCAAGCTGTTAACTTCAACCGGTCAAAGGGCCATGCCTATAAGTATTTTAAACCACAAAGTCTGCCCGGTATGCGGCCTATTGATGGTTCGTTTCGCTTTGATACGCACATGAAGAGCTACTCTCTCGTTTTATCAGCATCGTCAGGTGTAGATTAAAAGCATTAAAGCCCTTTAATGGAGGAAAGCAGCTTAGCGTCCCTCGGATGCCGCGTTTATCGCCACTTTTTGAAGGGAAATAATTATACTAAAAATTGATTACGTCACTACAACAGCAACGATAACGATGACAAATAATTTGTTGATGTATAGTTTGGTTGGAACTGCACCATTGACATAAATTCAGTCGTCGAAAGTTGAAGATGTTTCTAACGTAGTGAAGCAGTATTAATGCAGTAAAAGTGGAAAGTTAAATTTGCATTAAACTGTACTAGATCCTGGACTGAAAGATAATTTGCTTCTGTAGGGCCTGACAGCAAAGTGTCGGACATCGATGGTCAACCCTACACTACCATCCTTTACGGTAACGGACCTGGTTACGCTACTCCTCGCATCGTGCCCATGAACACGACTTCCGCCATGGAAGACCACAACCAGGTACACGCGGCTGCAGTTCCCAGGCAGTGGGGCACCCACGGTGGTGAAGATGTACCCGTTTATGCTTTAGGACCATTGGCCACTACCCTGTTTACAGGTAAGTCTGCTAACAAACGATTTATTATTTTGTTATTGAATATTGAATATTGTTTCCGAGGTGGTAAATAAGATGAAATCACTTTTTAAATCTTGTTCACTCTACTAATGTTCGAGCATTAATAGAGAATTAGAATGTTTAGGGATCGACTGTGAATTAGGAATTAAGAACATTAACAATTCTAATTTAAACAAATATTTATTGGCGAATATAATAAACTTTCAATTAACAGATAACAAACACCAATAAATTTCTCAAACATAATATTTACACGTGCAGATAAAGGGAAGACAGTCATAGCTATCGATCTCCCACAATATATTTCAAAAACCAACAATTTTCTTAAACCAGAACTACATAACTATATAACTATATAATAGCAGGTAGTTTGTATATATATATATATATATATATATATATATATATATATATATATATATATATATATATATATATATATATATATATATTGTTGAACTCCGACTGGAATCCTGCAGACGTTTCGCCAAAATCTCACTTGGCATCTTCAATGCTCGCGCTCCGAAAACACTGTGTTCGGAGTGTTTTCGAAAGCAGCGCAGTCTAGTTAAGTCCACTCGCTTTGAAAATATTTTTTCTACCGACGAAAGCGTAGTGGAAATTCACTTCGACAGATCGACTCGCTTTTAATGCGGATTGAAGAAGGTATTTATTCGTCTCCTTCGCCTATTTGAAAGTTCGTACACTGCTTAAGTAGATAACGTCTGCTGGTTCTGTGCCGCATCCGCACCAAGTCTCTCATACGTCTTTTTGCAAAACTTCTGGACTCCTCATGCATCTGTTTTTGCTGAGTCGATCTTGCTGACGTTTCGTTAATCATTATGTTGGCTTCTTCAGGACTTGACTGAAACTGGCTCGTATTTTACTCTCCACCTGCCTATATATATTGTTTGAGAGAGGCGGAACTAAATAAGGGGCATAAACACAGTCTCGGATGACTGATTCCCATATTGGTGACAGGTAGAGTCCTGAGTCGCGGTTAAGATTGTTAGGTTGCTTATAGGTTTCTATATCCTCTGGGATTTTTAGTTGATAGAAGTACTGATTACATGCAAGAATTTAAGTTTTATCGAATAAAATTTTATGTCCGGTTTCATGAGTGTGTTCGGCAACAGCTTATGAGTTTATTTGTCTTGGTCGTACGGCTCTTTGCGTCTAGTTGATATTTTCTCCAATGTATTCTTTGCCGCATATGCATGGAATGCTGTAAACTCCTGACATATCAAATGGAATTTTGTCTTTGACGGACCGAAGATGTTGAGAGATTTTTGAACAAGTGATAAATCTGGTTTTGACGTTATACTTCTTTAGAACTTTTGATATGTGGTCAATAATGTTTTGAATGTAAACAATCCTACACTTGCCACACTGGCAAGTGTAGGATTGTTTTTGGCCTCATTGGTATCATACGTCAAATGTCACTTCAAAGTTACGGTTTAAATATTATTGTTATGCTCCAAATTGATATTTCCCGTTAATAATTCTACATCAAACGCAACGGAGCAACAACATCTACGCAGGGCAAAGCTCGGCAATGAGTAGAAAATTGGTCGATAATTGAATCAGGGCCCTTGTTTACTGGCCGATTCGACTGTATTGTAAGTAGGGGGAATTCATAGGCCATTAGGACCTCGAAATGGAGCGCCAAAACTGCGGGGGCATTGTCGCTGGAATGTGCTTTTAATCAATATTGGAAACTTCCCAGAACATAATTACGCAATGGCTAATAACAATAAATGATGAATAGCTATCGTGCGGGCCAGATTGCCCACAAATATCGCTTAATTAAAACCGGTACTCCTGTGTTTCAAAATTGTAGTCCGTTCTTCTTTCCTTCGCAGTCATATAGGCGCCGATCCCTCCCATTTATTCTTATGATATTCGGATGTTACATTCGCTATTCGAAAGTCGATCAATATTTGGTGAGGGTCGAAAGCCAGCAATTCGAGTTAATATTGACAGAGAAATATCGGAATTCCCGGATAAATATTTAGAAAATACAAACCTTTACTTAACGGTTGTTATTTTCGAGAGACGTTTGACGCAGAAATGGGTTTCGTTCCCGATCTCGAGAAAGTAGCTTAGTATCTCGAGTCGGAACGTTTTTATCCTGGCCGACATCTTAATCGAAATGTTTTTCCGCGCCCCGTACCACAAATGAAAAATAAATATTGCCGTCATATCCGAGTAAACGTTTTCTCCGAACATAAAAACTCACGCGACCAGTCGTAGCAATACTTTCACCACTAATAATAATTTTCTGTAAATAAAAGTCTCCTGCGAACACAGTTTTCATTATCAAGAGCTTGATGACTTGACACGAAGGAAAATAATTTGATATTTGCTCACGTCGTACGCAACATTTGACGTCAAGCCGGTGCCGTTTCCTCGGGGAATAAAACACGGAGCAACATCTGTCTGCTCGCGTCGGCTTATATCGATCAAAATTGAAAATTGCCGCAATTTGTATTGCTTAATGCTCGAATGTGCTCTCGAACCATTAAACATATCGATTCTCGTGTACGCTTTGTCTTTGGGCACGCCCCTTGACAGCCCAATATGTTTTTAAATTGCCTTCACCTAGTGTTCCGCCGATAAGACGCATGCTTTAACTTAGCTTTTCTTTCGTCCTAGTTAAAGGCTATACATGTGTTCGGAAATTTTGTGGAAAAGATTCAACGTGGTAAAATAATGGTAGTAAGTTGTGTAACAAATTCGAAATCGTAATATCTTCTGGTTATAGCTCGTCGTATAGCAGTCTTTTTTTATATATTATTTCCCTAGAATATCTTTTTTATTTCCGTTGTGTTTTATTTATTTAGACTGATATTTCAAAGTAGAACACGTTGCCTTAAGCAGAATCACAAATCCTCAAAAATTGTTACTCTTCAACCAAGTTTTCTGTGTATGTCGATGAATGTCTTAGCAGATGGAACTATTGGGATAAGCCTCGATATAAAGCCGTTGTGCAAATATCATGGGCCATCAAAGTGGCAGTTGGTAAAATTCGAGCCGAGAATAAAAAAGTCGATTTGTGGCAAAACGATAACACTTATCGACGTAAAACAAGGGTAACAAATTTTTAAGGATTTATGATTCTGCTCAAGATAATTTGTTTTATTTTAAAATACTAGTGACGGATTTCTGAAACACTTTTATTTTGTGACGATGATAAAATGAATTTTTACAAGCTAATCAATTAATTTTCGTCACATAAATTACTACCATTATTTTACCACGTTGAATCTTTCGTCCAAGTTTCCGAACTCAATTTCCGAACTCCTTGTATACAGAGTTATTCGCGATCTACGGGACCGGCCATAATGCAAGGTTTTCAAAAAGTTTCATATCTATGATGGATAAAGTCTTATTGTAGTTGCTACTTAAAGTTACTTCCATACTATACAGGTGCCGTCAGAAGTATAAAATTGATATTCTTTTAAAAAGAATGTCCATTACATTATAGCACTATCCGACTCTACGATTAAAATAGGTATGTGTCTTAATAAGGTTTTTGATACCTATATCTTAAGGTTTCTAAAATGATTGAAGTATATTTTCAATTTCAAATTATTTACAGATCTTGAAGGTTTAAATGTGGTCATACGTGGTAACCTATTTTGGAAATTTTTTCGTAATTTGTGAGGTGGAAAAAGAGTTGCCCTTTTTAATCAACGCTCAAATAGAAGCGTCTAAGTTGTCTTTTCTCCATTTTGCAGGCACGTTTGATCAGAGCTACATCCCACACGCCATAGCGTACAGCGCGTGCCTAGGCGAGCACAGGCTGCGCTGTCAAGGCCTCGACAATTACACGCTGCTTCCCGCGCAGAACTGCGCGTCAATCGAAGCGTCCGGCGTTTCGGGCGCCGGTCAGCCCGTTGTTATAGCGTCCAGCGTGATGGCGGACGATGGTGCCAGAATCAAGTCGTCCGCGACGAAGTTTACTCTGAACTGTTTGCTGTGGGTGTGCGTGGCGTGCGCGTTGGAGCTGCGCGTGACGTAATCGGTGGTGCTGTGCGCGTGCGCGGACATCAGGGTGTCAGGATTAACGATATTCTAATCTGTACATAGGGTGTTTGTCGGGACAATAATACGCGGACGTTAGAAGAAATTTTGTAAATACAAAGAGACCAATTAAATTTATTGTATATACGTACATGTAAAGGCGGAGGTTCGATCGAAACGACTAGGGTGCGCTTTTTTCGAATTTTCCGGGTGCCAATTTCGACGAACGAAGCCGCACACTGGGGTATTAATGACATAAAGCTGATCGAAAACCGAAATATTAGCAAAACAATTTACTTACAGTTTACTCTGCGTTATTAGGCATTTGTTTATTTGAATAATTCGGTTGATAGGTTTCATAAAAATTTACTAAAATTTCCGAACTAACCAGCAAATTAATGTAATTTATGTAATCTTGGTAATTCAGAATCTGCTTCAAATTGTCTAAATTATGAATGACAAAAAGAAAATAAGCTTCTACATTCAAATAAAACCATAAATTTTTTATGTGAATATTGGTGATGTTTTTTTTTCTCATACTTTGCAGTACCTAATGAATTTTTATTATAACATGCTTTGCGAACTCCCTCGTGCCATGTTCTATTTGGACACCCTCTTTTTTTTCGGTGCTGTGGTATCCAATTCATTGTTTGCTTAGGTAATCTGTCGTTCGTACGCTGTACATGGCCGAACCAGATCAGTTATTTTCTTTCGATGTCAGTTACGATTGTATATTGGAATCCCATTCGTTCCCGAATACTTTGAAGTCTAGCTCTTCCCGCTGATGCGGCCAATCTTTGTCATTCTTCAAGTATCTGAACCATACGTTAAGTTAGTTTTAGTTAGAGTGTTATATATGGTGAATTTCCTACGTTTCCATATATTATTACTCTACAGGATTCCGCTCTGACAGTTAATAGCTTTTCGTGCCTGTATCATTCTTGTTCTTGTTTCTTCGTCATCTGAACATATTTTGTCTGGTGTACAGACTTTTATTTCTTCTGAGTTATCCAATTGTAGGTTACCACATTCTTTTCCTTTCCGTTTTTTCAACCTTCATACTCAGTCCTGAATCTTGATATTATTGTATTATTGTCCATATTGGATCTAATAATTGCGCCTCATCTAATTTCGAAAAAATTATATTTTTGGAATATTTGGCGATTGTAAGATTTTTGCCTGCTTTTTGTAGATTCATTCTTCAAGATTCACATTTCCTATAAAACGTTTTTCTGAAAACTGAAACCTGAAAACCCTGAAAAATAATTTCGATCAGAAAATGATATCAAGTACCCCACTGTGCGGAGAATCGCGGCACATTCCGAACTCAGTTGTATCTACCGTGCACCGTGGAAGTAAATATGTGTTAAACGTTTTCCGAAAACTCTATGTAAACTGTTACTTCGCGCGGACTTCCGTTCCGAATATCGATGTTGACGTTTCTCCTTTTCTTTCGGAAAGAATTACCGACGATGGAATAAAATTAGTTGAACGAAACGAACGATTTTTAATTTCGCGAAGTCAAGACTTTCGATTAAAAATTCACACGCAAATTTACCCGAGTAATTGTTCGGGAATTTACAGACGAAAGGAAACGCTTAATTTGGCACCCTTTAACGTTGACCGTAACTCCTGGCCGCCGGGCATATTAAATTCTGTAACGCGATGAAAAGGAATTCTAAATAATTAACCACACCTCGTTTACTCGTTCTGGACCACTTCAATCGATTGCCTAATGAGTATTAATACTCGTGTCCAATTATCTTGCACCAGGTAAAAATGAGACCATTGCGTCTTGTACGTCACTTTTTCTGCTTCTTGATGGTCATTCTCTTTTCTTTCCTTCTATTATTAAACTATTCCCTTGTGAGTAGCTATTTTAGTTTCGTAGGTATCCAGAATGGATTCAGTTACTTCAGTTAGTTTCCGTAATTCCCTGTCGCTCCAGAAGAGCGAGTTAAGTTAACTATATATTTAAACTGGTTGCAGTTGCCACATACTCGCTTTTTTTGTATTGCTTTGCAGCACAGTATGAGTCAAGCCTACATAAGCGCAGTTGGAGATACCTATCGCTGACGTACAAGTTTGTTTAAATTAGCAAACCGTCAATGGGAATAGTTTCCAGTCACTAAAGGACTGAGACCGGAATACTCGGAATTTTCACTAATTCTCTAAATCTACTTTGAAAATGCATCAAAAGGATAGAAACGAAAATGTGAAGGAATAGTTATACCAGTAGCGGATCACATCAAAAATCAAAAATATTGTATAGAAAAAATTAGCAACAGGTTTGTATGATCCTAATAACTAAAAGTATGCGACGCTCTCGAGAAGGAATCGCAATTTGACACTCCAAATTTGCTAATGAAAATTGCAAAATTTAAGTTTGAGTCGTATGTCTTGTCTAGTTAGCTGTGTGGTCAGTTTAAAAACAATCAGTCTCATTTGAATGCGAAATATAATTACCGGTACCCTGTTTACTAATTTTGAAGCAATTGTCTAAGCGGTACAGTAGTGACAGTTTTAAAAAAATGCCTGAGAACCAACCGAATACAAGAATAAAAGAGACACATCGAGTGTAACGGAGACAGCCTAGTGATCGTCAAATCTTAAAAATAAACTAGTCCAAATGTTCCCGGGGGAAGTTGTTGATTAAATCCATTCCGAAGTTAACCTGAGATGCGTACTCGTACCCGACTTATTCCGGCTTTCGTTTCGAATAATTAAAAGCCAGCGGGAAGGAGGAGGTATTTTAATATTCCTCGAAAACTTAGCCTAAACATTCCGGTTTCCATAGACGAATACTTCGCGAGTTCAATGCGGAACTTTGCATCTTAAAATTTAGTTAACGTTTTGAGTAAACCCGTAATACAAGTCTGAGGCATTCAAAGGAACTATTAAATGAAAATGCGGAAGTACCCCGTAATCAGACGCAGATGGGGTTCGGGTCGTCTCGTGATGAAGTAGTACATAAATAAAACACAACAAATTAAAAACACCAACACAGAAATGTAAATAAACTATCACAAAATAAATGAATTGCACAATTAAAACTGAATAATATATTTATAAAATAAGAATGAAAGTTTTATGGGTATAGTATGGCCACCGACCTACCGTACTCATTAAAAATTAAAAACCCTTAGCCTCGACCGGTGCTATTGTTCGAGGTGTGAAATTCGACTACCGCATCTCTAGGGACGGATCGGGTTCTGACAACAGTGGTTAAAAAACTCTGCTTGCTATCACTTGCTCCCTGTACAGGACAAAATAGCTCGTGCAACATTTCATTCTATCCGAGTACGTCCCTGTCTTCAGTCAGTCAGCAGAAACTGTTTTACAGGATTATAGTTTCCTAATATTCCTCAGCGGGTCAGCCAGATTATAAATGTTGCTGCCTTTGCACATAAATTAATTTCTAATCACACTGCTATTCGGAATTGGTAATGAGATGTTGTTTAGTCCGTGGGCGCTGGTGCCCAGGAAAGTAGAATTTTCTAGTAGTTTCGGGAATAAACAAAAAAGGTAAAGTTAAACTTCGGTGATCAACCAAAAGTGGAAGTGCATTGCATATATCTCAAATGAGCCAAACACAAACTTTTCCTATTTCGTGGCAAAACTTCAGATTCTCTTCAAAAAACAAGAACAAACATTTGGAATAAACTTCTTTACTGACAGAGTCATACCCATTGAGTTTTTGACATATATCACCACCACCACAGATCATTGGGGTCAGAAGCTTGTCTGATTTTCTATCTGTGACACCAAAATAAAGTGGTATCATCCTCAAATAAAATAACTAGGTGCATAATTTCAATTATTTCAATAATTCCTTGACGGAAACCATCAAAAGCTTCTCTCAGTTCACAGAACACTGTTATTGTTGCTAGAAACCCTTTAGCTAAGATGTCAAAGATGGCATGTGATAAGTTGCCCATAACGAAATTGCTTTGCCAAACTTAAAATAGGAAAAAAAAAACAGATATAAACGAAAAGTCGAAACAGTTTTACTTTTCTTGGAGTTGGAGTCTAAGTTCATGGTGTACTAATTCTGGAAAGACACTCTAACGCATTGATATTAGAGGGGATATTCTTTTTTAGGTTATGCCAATACATGCTAAAATATGCTAGTCCAATAAAATATGGGGTTCAAATATTGAGTTCTTTGTCCAAGTAACACTGATCGCTGGTGTTGTTTTGGTCTGGTTTATATTTTTCGACCTATTTCTCGGATGTATCGTTTTTTATCTATAATTGATCAATGGTGTGTTATATTTGTCCAAAATTTTTGATATTTGATTGGTGTGACATCTTGAACATGCGGATGTATTACAGTGGTCAACCCAGGGAAGTTACTGTGTAAGTGGTTATGGTGAAGTGTATTTTTTAATTCCTCCGTATAATAATCACGCCTTGAGAGGGAAAACAGAGTTACTATTATTCTTATAGCGAAGATATTTTCCTGGCCTTCTGACCGGATAACGAAGCCATCATGGACGTATCTTGTCTATGGATTCAGTTTCAGATGGAAGCTACCGTTGACTACTTTTTGATAATGTGGAAACCCATAGGTTTTCCAGATATTTGTTTATAAACTGGTAATTAGATATTTTAATATATAAATATATATATATATATATATATATATATATATATATATATATATATATATATATATATATATATATATATATATATATATATATATATATATATATATATATATATATATATATATATAAATTTGAAAGCGTGCAGGTAAGTTTTTGGATGTCTGAGATTATGTCTAGTGCTTTTCAAGAACAAGAACTACAATAGAGTGGGTCCAAAAAAATCGACTATTTTGTTTTATGAAAATATATCTATAAAATTATTCAGAATGACAAAAAGAATGCCGTAAAAGTTTGAATCCTTAATATTAATTTACTTTTTCTACTCCCTTCTCTAAAATACCCAATTATATATCGATCTAGCGTGCGAAAACTGTCATTTTATCACGTCAGTTTCTTTTCCCACGTATCCGAGCTAGTCGAGACACGACGTTTGTCAATTCTGACGGTAACATATTACAATTAATAATATAAATATTATTAAGCTTTTATAACTTGAAGAAAAAATGAAATCCTTGTTTTTTTTTTAATTATTTACCCGGTTCGTTCCACAATGAAACAAATTTCTATTCTACAAACTTCTTATTTTTACAATTATTTTTGTTTCTATTATTGATGATATAATAAACTTTCTATAATGCAGAATATGAATTTGTTGCAATGAGTGAAAAAAAATGTGTAAAAAAACTAAAAAATAAGGCTTGATTTCTTGGAAACGGTTTTCAAAAAAAGCTTTTTTTTATAGAAAATTCAGTTTCGTTTGGCGGTTTTCGTTAGTTATTGGTTATAACGGTAAAATTAAACTATATTGCTTATTATTAAAAATATAGCTACGTACACCCTTTGAATAACGGACCAGCTAAATGAGACCAGAACAAAAAAAAAGAAAATTTTTGACACCAGAAGAAGCGATTGATGCATTTAAAATTCATGTTTTGTAGGGTGCCCGACTCGATGTGGGAAAAGTGCTTTCATGACTGGTTTTATCGAATGCAAAAGTGTATATTTGGTGAACATTTTGAGAAACAGTAAAGTCATATTTGTTGGTCGCTTCGTAGGCTTAGTAGCTTAGTAGTAGAGGCAAACGATAACATTCGCAAGGTAAAATCACTAGCAAAAAGCAGTATCTGTAAGAAAGCAATCAAGATCATAAATTAATATCGATTTAACAATTTCATAATTTTTTTTCCTAAGACTTCTAGCGCAAGTTGCTTTCAAACATCAAATAGTTATTAATTTTTCATGTAGATAGAAAGGACGAACGCTGCCGTCGCCAGTCGCCAGAAACTTCGAGCACGCCGCTGCACTTAATCCGAAACTTCCATTTATTGCACTTCCGAGACTGTTTTAATTTAAACCTTGGCAGATGTTAAGATTAAAATCAACAAATGCTTTTGTAAGAGCTGGAAACGAGGTCGCGCAATTCTTTAACCAGATAATGAAGATGCGCTACGTAAATTTCATCTCTATATAATTGAACGAAGTAAATTCAGAGTACAAAGCGCCAGCTAGAGCGAAATCTAACCAAGCGCAATAAAATCGAACCGCCTCGTCCGAAAACAAAAAAAAATCGAAGCCGAAATTATCGAGGGTCGACCCAGGCACTGATTTATTAACATCCCCGTCGCATAACTCTTTGATCTGCGTCACCAGACGCCAAGTGTTGTAAATTTAACGCCAGAGCTAATCTGTCGGTGGGCTAATCTAGCACACAACTACACCCTCGAGTCAGCCGAGCGGGAATATCTTGGCGTGGGCCGTATCTAAAATTACTGACCGCTTTCGGGGTGGCGGTAGATCCTGAAACGGATATAAATTTCGTTGAATAACATGGCAATGCCTATTTATAAGTACGTGGAGTTTTATGGGGATTTACTT